GACATTTTATCAAAGGACGTTTTCTAAAAGACAAAATTTAAAAGGACATTTTTTGCGAGGACCAAATTTTGAGGACATTTTCTAAAGGACATTTCCTAAAGGACATTCCTGCCATGATTCGCGATATACAATTGACCTATTGCTTATTCTTAGGGATAAAGTAGTCAACTTCCATTATTTACTCCATCAAAACTAGTATGCTCTATCACATCGTTTAGACATTTCATCGCCCGATTGTTCACAGAATCTGAGATATAGTGAGTAAAATTCTCGTCAACTAGAGCCAGGATTGGAGTCTTTAGTTGGTAAAGGCCAGTTCCGTAATCATTTATACCCGCAATTATCTTGTCGTCTTTTTCTCTCTGACTCCATCGTTTGACGAAATGATGCCACTGATCAATAACATAAAGTGCTCCATCTTTATCTAATGCCAAACCATGACATTGAGTACCGAGCATAGTAATATGCGAGTTCATTTTCTTTTCAGAAAACTATCGAAGTATTATCGAGTGTTACCACTATCACAAATGATCTCCTTATCCATTTCGTCAACATTCGACCCAATTTTCCATCGAAGAATGCGATTATTGTATTTACCTCCAATATAAATACAGGATCGGAAAAAATATTTTGTCCGATCCTTTACATAACTATACGGTTTCTAACGTATTCGATTATCGATCAGTATGTATCCAGGTTCAGAGAATGCTTGACTGAGAGTTGGCAACTCAAGTAAGGTCGGAAACGAGTGATTAAATGAGATTCATCCGGATGACTTTTGTGTTAGCAGATGTCACCAAATTTCCCATGATGCTCTCTACAATCTAAATGAGAATGGAGATGAAGTTAACACACACAACCGCGCTTCAATGCTTTGCATGTCATCTTTCTTCTAATCGTGTAAAATAGAAATGTATTCCCATCAATTCTAAAACGCTTTCTTAATAAAAAAATACTTTGCCGATAGTATATGCATAAAACATTCGAATTTATTTTGAAAAGAAAAATCACCACCAATAATAGGCACTCCTAATAATAAATTTCATAGAACATTAGAGGACAATTGCATTGAACGTCACACATTTCTTAGCCTGTACTGCACATTGATCAAATGCAACGAATACAAACGATGAGTACAATCATTTGATTGTTGATCGGTTTTTTTTCTAATGAATGTGAATTCGTATGAATTGATGAAATGAATCATTGCTTAAGTATCATATGTAATATTCCTGCTCTCGTTTGTATGTGCTGATACATTGTATTTGTCGATAATTCTCGTCATGTGAGATCTCAAACATTTTCTTTTCTTATCATAAAGCGACACGATTTCGGACCGAAAGAAACAGATAAATAAACACGTACTTTCATCGACAATCGTCACATTGTAATATGGAAAAGTATTCTGTCGAACTTCTCATTTAATCAAAGCGATATGAAAAAAAGGAAAGATTTAATGGCAAAGTTTACCACGTGCATATCGCTACAATACAATTGAAATTCATATTAATTTTACAAATACTATTGATAAATATTCTCATGCGATTTAATATAAACGACAGATGAATTTTAAGTTCGACCATTCTTTAAACCTTGACGATAGAATACGAATGTGAGATATCCTGATCAGCACTTCGTACATGATCGACCGTCTTTATAAGACGCATTAAATTATGTTTCAGCATGATCAATGACTGAATTTTATTTTTTAAAAAAACTACCACCAGTAATAAATGCTGTCATTGGTAGATTCGACAGAAATACGAGGTGGCAATACCATTGAACGTAATATACGATTGAACCGACTACTGACATTCATAAGCCACAATGAACACAGATGACGAGTATTATACTTTTGTTCTTCTAATAGAAATGTCAATAATGATGCACAACTAGAAGCATTCGAACCAGTCAAAACAACAGTCAATTGTTGAATTCGAGGACAAAGATCGCCTAGTAATTTGATATCGGCAAATGTGCCATAGTTTTCTATAACCAAATCTTTGATTCTGCTGTTCTCGGATACTGTTTTCAGAGTTGCACTTTTTCCGATCGCAATCGATGATACTTTGTGACACGATATTGAATAAACTGTCAATTTCTTGACATTCGGTGAAAAATACAGTAGTTCAGCTAGTTTTCCAACACAAAACTGCGGATAATTAATTATCAATTCTGTGAGTTTCGTGAGAGGAAAGATTCGATCAAGAATAGCTGAAATTGAATGGTTAGTTGCATTTGAGTATTGGAAGAGAGTCAATTTAGTAATATAGGGAAAATAAACACAATTATCTATTTTTGATATATCATTTCGAAGAGCAAGTTGAGTAACAGAAAGATAATAACTTGAACTCATAGCTGAACAACGATTGGTACATGCACATTTCTGCCTATAAACATAAAAAGGGATAAGGATAAATATCTTGACTTTCTTCACTCTTACGTAATCGGTTGTACTGAAGATATACTTTGCAATTGTTCGTCTTGTGTCCAACACCACTGTTGATCACGCCAACATAAATATCTTGCTCGATCATCTGTAAATTTCACATGCAAAGCATGTAGATTTGACAGAGCACCTATGACCATATCTTCCCATTTGTTTGTCGTTAAACGTAATGGAGAATCAAGTGTCGTGATATACACGACACGAACATGAGAAAATAGTTGTTCCATTAAAAGTTTCATTTGACTATGAAATATACGTGTCATATGAAGAAATAGATGGGTTAGATTGTTCAATTTAATTGGTTCTCGTTGCATTGTTGTATAAGTTGACCATTGATGAATAGAGTATGATAAATGACGAATGTCAGGAACGTATGATAAAAGGATATGTAGTTCACTCATCGGTAAAGCATTATTGAGAACAAGTGTTTCAATGGGGCTATAGTCGTTTGTAGTCGCAAACGGTAATCGACAAGAAGGCCAGTTGTCAGGGAATGTTGTATGACAATATTTTAATGCAGGTAAATGAAATATTTGACGAAATAAATCACCGGTAGATGAAATAGGGTCGATAGTTTTAATAACAAGTGATCGAAGAGAAGGTAGATCGACGAGAATATCTTGTAAATGTTTCGATCGAATATTTTCAAGAATTAGTGTTCGAAGTTGAGTCATCTTAGTAAATGTCGAAGACAGAAGATCATCAATAAGAGGACTCGATGAGCGAAAGAAAGTGATTCGGTTCTGATATGAAATCAGAAAACCGA